AGGCTACTGTGGAAGTGCCCATTTCGGTTACAACGACATTCGTTTATAACGACACTATTTTTAGGTCCCTTTGATGACGTTATAACCAAGTTCTACTGTATATAAAAATGGAGCATTATACAAGCAAGCTCTAGTTACAGACTGTTAACTGAGTCAGCTTTATTTGGGAGGGGGAGAAGGAGCATCGTTTTATTGGAAGGTGCACAGGTATCGCCCGTTCGTCCTTCTGACAAGTACGAAAGTGAAGAAAACATTAATATGCATTGTTATATATTTAAAGATTCCAGTCCAGTCTAATAAATTGCTGCTGGCCCTCGCCAGCACAGTCGTTCTTTGTTTCGGGCCCCATCGTGACCCTAGATCATATTTTTGTTCTTTCTAGGCTTTTACGTGATTTGAAATTCGGTCTCTTTCCGACAAGAGCAGGCGTCTGAGTCTTACTGGTCACTTCTCTCTTCTGGGGAATGACTCTGCTGGCTCTCTCTCTCTCTCACTCACTGTCTCACTTTCTCAGCTTTATACAGACAGACAGACAGACTGACTGACTGACTAACCATCGCAAGCAAAATGATTCTTGGTACCAATTCCAAGAATAATTTCTTCTAAATAATATTGCACGTGACTGAGTGACTATTTCCGGCGTCTGGATTGGTAATTGGATTTATTGAACTCTTACAGATCCGTGACTACAAGTCATTATAACTGTTTCACTAATTCACACACTTTACAGTTCAACAGAGCACACGCTTGAGTCTTCTCAACCTGCTGTGTCTTCACCAGTTTTCTGCTAACGGCTTCCAACGGCCGACGTTTCCCTTCCTCTGGGTTGCCGAACTGTCCCCTGCCTCAGCTACAGAAACTCTCGAATAACTAACAAACAAACTAACTGCCTGGCTCTACACTTGTCCTGCTTTATCATCTTGGTACTGGCCACGTAGAACACACCGCTCCTCTGCTGCAGCGCAATTGTTGCGATTGTCTCTGTTGACGGAGTCGTTACCTAGCAACGGCTATTGTATAGTCACTTATTTCGCGGTCGTTGCCTATAAACGGTTCTATATGCCGCAATATATAACAGTGAGTTCGTATCTCACAGGAAACACGTTTCAGCCACAAAGAAAAACCGGTTAATAATGTTTAGGGAAACAATCGCTGTTTATTGTGAGAACCATAAGGAACACATAAATACACTCTATAGAGAGAAAGAAGCAATTTTCTAAGTTAAAGCAAGCGGTGCATATAGAACCACTGGGCTTTAAGAAAGCGTAACATGGAAACCACGGAACGTTTGTACAAAACAGATCCTCTGCACACGCATATCTTTGTATAGCGTATGTTCCGCTACAAGGTGTTTACTCTGAGACACGTGTGTAGCTGCATCGCTCTATAAACACATTCGGGAGGTATCCGGTTCAGATCACAGCCGGATTAACGGATACTGCGGCTTAAGTTTCCATGGTTTTCCTCAATTTCTCCAAACAAACAACGGTCACGACTGTCTCCTTCCAAATCATTACCTTCTCACTATTCACAGTTATATTCCCATCTCATTTAACAACCTCCGCAGATGAAACAGAGTCAGCAAACCATGAATCAATAAAGCGTTTTAAATATGTATTCACATTTTGATTTTTTGTACGTTTCTCTTACATTTTAGACTAGTACTGCTTTATTACTGCAGACTGTGTGTACTTTCACACATTAACCGATTCACAATTCGCCGTTTCCACGAACATTATATAAAAAATGAGGAATGTAAATTATATAAATAAATGGCCCCACGAAATTAGATACGCGTTGCAAATTCCATGAATCGTCATTAAAAGTCTGCATCATAACTCTTAATTAATTGGAATTGCTCGCCTATCCATTCTGGGCTCTGTAAATATGGTACACGCTGGAGGAAACTTTTCGAATTAAAGAGGAAATAATTTCTACGGCGTTCTAACTGGTCTGCTATTTGTGGAAACTTGGTACCACGTGATCTACTAACAGAGACTGCGAGAGCGGCACGCGTTGCCTGGTGTACTTAGTTCCGTATAGACGGCAGCAGTGCAGCGTAATATTCATCAACCAGTCACGGGGGAGTCACATTGAACTCTAGGGCCGGCATATTTTGATGCTCCGGTCGCTACATAACTAATCCGATTCTGACCTTCATCGTTGGTGTACTTATAGTTCAAAATGGCTCGCTTTCATTTATGCATATAAGATATGAAACCGACATGGCAATCGTATGATTATAACATTAAATAACAAATGCAGTTTAATAATGAAAAACGAACTGCATGGAATCTAACCCCTAGGAGAAAAGTACAGGGCGATTCATGACTAATCCTAAATTCAGGAGCTTATACACGGGATCATCCTAATTTAGAAATGTCATACAAACACAGGTTTGGGTGTAGGTCGCGGTAATTTCAGGTTGGCAGAAATGCATATTGGCAAGACATAAATCAGAAAATTATAGTAACTCCGAGCGCTAAGGCCGCGCCATTGCTCACGAGGTTAGTCGCTGGTTTCCCACCGCAGCGGCCCGGGTTCAAACCAGGGTCCGGTCAAGTGGGATTTGTGGTGGACAAAGTGGCGCTGGGCTAGATTTTCTCAGAGTACTTCGGTTTCCCCTGCCAATCTTCATTCCACCAAATTCTCCATCATCACAATCACGCGGGGCAGGTACAATAGGGCAATCAGTGGCCGCCGTACTGATTGGACCCAACTAGACTCCACGCCCCACTAAGCGAATTAAAAAGAAAAGTCCGAGCGCTCACTGAAGAAAAACTGGATTCGCCTCGAAAATTCCAGCGTCTTGGGCAGAGGGCCAAGGTTTAAGGTTTCGGGTTTCAAGTTTCAAGTTCGCTCTCTTTCCGAAGGGAACTTCAATCCGTCAGTGTGAACTCTACAGAAGTGAAGTTAATTCGCGCGTAAGAACAAAGACAAAATTCGGCATCTGTTTTGATTTTAATGAGTTCTGTTTCTGTTTTGTTGACCTATGGGCTTGTGGTACTTCAGCACAGGTTCTAAATTCATCACTTATGGTGCTGACTGTATAACCATTATGTTCTGAAGAAAACACCACTACAAAAAAAATTTGTTATATTCGGTACAAATACAGTTCTTAATTTGAAGAAGCTCATTTCATTTGTTATTTCTGTGGTGGCCAGTCGCGCCCAACTGAGTCGCCCAGGACTCGAAGGCTTCTGAATACTTTAATGTGTGTGTATCTACGTATCTTGCCGATGGCACTTTAGTATAGACGTTACATCCATTCCTTAATGCGCAAGATCTTACCTACATAACGATAGTGTGCCATGAGCAGAACGCAGTTTCCTTAAATCCGGCGGCCACACAAATATTTTGGCGGCCAGAAGGCAGATCAATATTGCTGAGCTCTCGCTGTGCCTCTCATCGAAATCAATTTATTCCTATAGTAATGTTTGTTCTGGACTCATGCAGGCCAGGAATTAAATAATGACAGGTAAAGGTAGAGTTAGGACTGGTCACAAGCGGCCTCCGTAGTCTAGGGGTAACGTTCCCACCTCGTGACTCAAGGTACGCGGATTCAAACCAGGCGGAGGTCGTGGAATATTTAAGGGCGGAAAAATTCAGGGAACAAGTCCTCCGGGAGGGACTTTAAGCCGTGGGTCCCGTGTCGTAGCTTTACGGCATGTAAAAGATCCTCATGTCTCAAGGAGAACTCTGAGCCAAATTATACGGACATTTCCCGCCCAACAATAGTCTCTAACGCCTCTGGTAGATGGGGGAAGCATCGAGATACCGCTGAGCCAGTAGAGGCCGAACTCGCTGGCTGAGTCGGGACTGATGGCACGCACCAGTACCGGTAAGGTATAGAGGCTGGTAGAATATCACAGGGGACGTAC